CTTCATTCGATGGTAATGTATACTTAGAGTATTTTAGGTGGGAGGCTGCTCTCTCTCTTTCATTGTCACTAGTACACGTATTGGTTCCATTTACAACTTTTGGAGTGATTAATCCATTTGTTTATACAAATATTACTAAATGGAAATTAGCATTTTCATAAAATACTATCAATTAACTAAAGTTTGTTTCCAATAATTTAATCATATTTTAATAATGATTAAGATAAGTCATTAATTTTTCATGAAACAGACAGTCACATTCTAAGTATTTAGATCCGAGTTATTATTACTTCTCCTTCTTTATATGTTGGATAATGAAATTATCAAAGTAACTCTCTCGCTAACCTTGCAATGTCACATGCTTGTAAATCTGATAGAAATTTGACTCAAATATTATACTTATAAATTCATCTATTATATCCACATTATTTTCAAGAAAAGGCAAGAAATAGAGCATACACCCTATCTCAATAAAGTGTTAGGGGGGGGGGGGGGGGGTTGAATAGGATTACTATAATTTTTTGACTAACTCAGAATAAGCAGCGGTAATAAAATAAGCGAAAAACTAAAAGTAAATCAACACAGTAACACACAATATTTTTATAGGGTCAATTCAAATTCCTACGTCCTCTCTTCCTTCTCACGAAGGACCTTCTTCACAATGACCAGAGTTCACTCAAATCACAACCCGATTTGGTAGGTTTCAAAAACCGCACCCTGAAAGCTAACCGAAATCAATCATCTAACCTACATGTTCAGAATGACCAGAAAAAAAACCTAACCCTAGCTAGCCAAACCCTCAATTAACCTGCCTTGAGCACGCCAACCATCAATTACCCTAGATTGAGTATGCCGTCAAACTCACAAGTTTGAAATATAACCAACCAAAATATTAAAGCATAAAAAGAACAACCTCATAGCCTTTTATTAAAAATTCTTCAAATCAATTGTAGGCTGTCTAAAAATTACTCCAGATAGTTGATCCCCATCAAACACCGATAATGGAAGTTATAATTTGACAGCTTTCAGAATGCTACAATTTAAAAACTTTTATGTAGATCGATGAATGTTATAATTTGACAACCTTCACAACAACCGATGAAAGCTCTAATTCAACAGTCTTCACAGTCAACGTCAGGAGTTACAATCTGACGATTCTCATATTTTCAAAGAGCCAAGACAAAGATTACAAGATGACGATCTTTGCAACGCTCTAGCAAAAGAGACTATAAATTGACGGTCTCTTCAAATCAAGACACAGAGCTCACCTCTGCGTCCCAGATTCAAAACGCAGAGGTCATGCCTGCATTTCAGATTCAAAACGCAGAGGTCATGACTGTGTTTCAAATCAAGACGCAGAGCCCACCTCTACGTCCCAGATTCAAAACATAGAGGTCATGCCCGCGTTTCAGATTCAAAACGCAGAGGTCATGGCTGCGTTTCAGATTCAAAACGCAGGGCTCACCACTGCGTTCCTAGCTAAGAACGCAGGGCTCACCACTGCGTTTCTAGCCGTCAGTGCAGAGCTCAACTTTGCAATCCAATCTCAGAACGTAGAGTTCATACCCAAAACGTAATTCTTGCGTTTGACACGTTCAAACACGAGCTAAACAGTTTCAAAACCATTTCTCATGATTTGAAGGGATCACTCCCCCCACTTAATTAGGAGCGAATTAAGGGGATAGTTACACTCCTTAATCCCCTATAAATGGCCAAAACTCAATTAGGTTCGGGATCTCCAATTGGATCAACTTTTTGCATCCAAGATATCGCATAAAGAGAGATCGACATTCGTGTTCTTAGAGAGCTTGGAGTGTCATTCAGCAACAAAGGTCTTGGAGATTAGATCTTGGCTATAAACCGATTTTTAGTTAAATCAATTAACTCTTTTACAGAGTTTTAAACTTGCTTTGAGTTCTTAAACTCGTTAAGAGTTATTTTCAAACTTGCCACGTAAGTTCTCCTCAACGTCAATCAAGAGGAAGATATCGTATTCCCACAAGGTGAAACGTTTGGATCGTCAATGGGATACAAGGATCTGAATTCCCATCGACACCAAGAAGAACCTAGATTAAACAAAGGGAAGGGTCTCCGTCGATCCCTTCTCTCTTTTGTAAATCGGGAAACCGATCGAGAAGATTGTAATTTCTTTATCTAAGTTTGTTAGAGAGGGAGTGCATTAAGAGAATTATAACTCATTCTTTTTCTAAGTCTGTTAGAGAGAATAATATAAATCCAATTCTCCATTTTCTTCTTTCATTTTCCTAACCAACAAAATATGACGATTCCACTGGGGACTAGCTTTTTCACCGATAAAAAGGTGGTGGCGCAATCCGACGTCAACCTCACTAGAACAACGGTCGAAACTCTTATTGTGTAGCTTGATCAAGCCAAATATGAAGAGTTCCTCCTCTCTAGATCCCTTAGCCCTAAGGCTATGCACAAGATCTACAAAATCTCTAAGAAGACTAAGGTTCCTCCTACAGTTGACTCATCAAAGGAGTGTCTTCCCTAGGGGTTGTACTGTTCATACAGTTCACTCTCGGAAGGATACCAGTAAAAAATCGTGTATCCTAGACGGAATATTCTAGACGGAAAATTTTCTGTCTAGTTTGCATTAAACTAGACGAAAAATTTCTGTCTAGAATATTCCGTCTAGGATAAAACATCCTAGACGGAAATTTCCGTCTAGGATAGTATCCTAGACGGTTTTTTAATTTTAAATTTTTTTTAAGATGACCAAGTATCCTAGACGGAAATTTCCGTCTAGGATACATCCTAGACGGAAATTTCTATCTAGGATATTTTGGCTCGTATAAAAAAATAAACACCAAATTCCCCCCTCTAAATTTTCCGCCCAAAATCATAATAAGAAACCCTCCCCCCTAAAATTCTCTTTCTAACTCCTTCCCTTCCTCCCCGCCACGAACATAACCCTCCTCCTCGTCGGCAACGAGATCATGTCCACCGCCGACAGGAACCTCATCGCCCACCTCGTCTCCACCATGCGCTCCGTCAAGTCTGCCCTCTCCTCCGCTGGCCACCTCCAGATCCGCGTCTACACCACCCACTCCCTCGGCATCCTCTCCGCCTCCGAGCCCCCCTCCTCCGGCCGCTTCCGCCGCAGCTACGACAAGGCGATCTTCACCCCGATGCTCAGATTCCACCAACGATATTCAGAGGCTTCTAGCAATCGAGTTCGAATTCGACGAGGAGTTTGCGAATCAATGCTTAGATCGCCTTGTCGATCTCTATGGTAATGAGCTCAATCGAAAACCTAATATTTCTCAATCCCAACCCCTTTCAACTTTGAAGTTTTGAATTTCCTTTAGTTTTGAGATTGATTATGTAAATGGACACTGAAAATGTACTAGGTTCTAATTAGGAGCATACCAGGGCCTAAAGATACGATCTTGATGTTCGATTGGGATGAATTTGATGTTGAAATGGTTGCAGTTAATGGTTTATTTAGTTTATTAATTTGATGAATTTGATGTCTTGACTTTCCATCGTGGGAATTTTTATTTTTATTTTTTATTTATCATATATATAGATGAATTTGATGTCTTGACTTTCCATCGTGGGAATTTTTATTTTTATTTTTTATTTATCATATATATATTTTTGCTAGTGTTGTTTGACAATGTTTGGTACTTCTTATAGTTGTTATATTTTACTGATAAAATTATTGGGTTCAAGCAGGCAATGTTTATATGATATGATCATATAATCAAGCTGAAAAATTGTAGGACACTTGTTTGAAGTGTGTTTGAAAGGTAAAACAGGGGTTGACCTTCCGCTAAAGTAGAAACGTCTAAATTCTTCAAGCAAAAATGGGATTATGAATAGTGAGATCTCATGGCTCATGGATGCTTTTTAATTTTTGGCAGCAGAAGGAGATAAGAAATATGTAATAGTTACATGTGCTTGAAAACATTGCATTGTAGAGTTATATATGATATATTGATGTGCAATGTTGCATGACAATTCTTGATGACCATTTTGATTGTTAATGACCATTTTGATTTGTTCTAATAGAATCACATGTTGCAGATTTCAAAATACAAGGCAGATATTCAGAGGCTTCTAGCATCTGAAGCTGAAATTAAAGAATTGGCATTCAGTTATGCTGCTGTATTGAAGGAGAAAGAGGTACGTTACTGGCGTTTGAATATATCTGCGTTGTAGGCGTATAAAACTGCCTATGGGTCCCTTAGCACAGCTCGGCACAAACCGACGAACCATCGGGCGACGTATCCAAACACGAGTGTCAGTCCACAACGCCAAAGCCAAGTGACACGCAACGAAGCGGAGTAATGAGGCGACGAGGTTAACGAATCGCACGCAAGCAACGGAATACATCCATTCGCATGTAGAATCAAGCCAAGGGTTCGAAGAGTCAACGAGTCATCCAACCAAGGGCAGACTCGGACGAATCACGATCGAATCAAGATCAGTTTCGAACTCGAACTCAGAAATAGATTTACTGCCAAATCAGGAATCGGATTTACTGCCAAATCAGGTCAACGATTCAAGTCCGGATAAATCAACCAAAGAACCAGATCACGGACTGAACCGAAAACGGAAAACGACGGAAAACCACGCCCAAGGGGGGCTCGGCCAAAACCGAGCCACCCATGGGTGGCTCGGTGGCCGAGCCACCTATGGGTGGCCGCCCAGATCTGTACGCGGGCACAGATCTGAGAGCCTATAAATAAGCCCTTGAGTGTTCATTAGAAATGTTGGATTTTTTGGAGGCGAAGCCCTGCTTGATTGAAAACTCAGATCTAAAAAAGATTCAAACTTTAGGGCTTCGAGGACTTGTTCATCCAGATCTGGTGCTCGGCGATCGTCAACGCCAAATAAGGCAAGAGTTCGAGAGGAACCGGATCTCAAATCGGATCTCAGATCTACGCAGGCATACTCCGGATCAAAGCTTGGTCTTTGATCCCGAGAATTAAAGGCTACTATTTCCTTGGCGAAA